GGGAAAGTCTGATCGAATTGGGTATTTTACATCCAGACTTTTCAAAACCAATTTTTGAGCAATTTTCTTTAATTGTTTCTTCAGATGAAATTCCATGTCAACCAACAGAAGAATAAATAGCAAAAATTAAACAAGACCTCGTACTTAAATTTCCAAGATGTATTTGACTCTGATACGTTAAAACTTATGGAAGGACCGCCAGTTCTTATACATTTAACCAGTAACTACACACCGTCTGCGATATCATGCCCCAGGAAAATCACATTTGCATCGTTAGAACCGGTTAAAAAGGAATTGGATAGCCTATTATCACAAGAAATTATAGAACTTGTAAACGACACACCTACAAAATTTGTTAGCCCCTTGGTATTGGTACAAAAACGAAATGGCGATATCAGGATATGTGTACTTAGATTACACAAAATTACATTACATTTTGTTAAACGGCCTACACATCCATCCAAGTCACCGTGGGAAGCAGTGTCAAATATAGATGGAAAATCTAAGTAATACTATTCTTCTTTGGACGCAAAAAGTGGCTACTGGCAGCTTGCACTGGACCAAGAAAGTCAGGCTTGAGCAAAACCCCCTAAAGTTCGCCTTACGAGTCTAGCACTATGGAAAGAATGCAGATAAAAAAATTGCAAGATTGCCTATTTGACTTCCAATACCTTAATATTTATCTATGTTACACACCTAAATTTATAAGGAAAAAGTAATATTCAAAAACGCTGCGCGCCCGCCTATGACAGGCAGCATAAAGCTCGAAATGAATGGCGTTATTCCCCCTTGCCCTTCAGACGTCGTAGTGCTAGACTCGTAAGGCGAACTATATTTTAGCACACTTTGATTAAACGAAACCAATAGCTTTACATACTGATGCTTCACGTACTAAAGGGCTGGGATTTACGCTTCTTCAGAAAGACAAAAATCAATGGAAACTTATACAGTGTGGTTCTCGATTTTTGTCAGAAACCGAAAATGAAATGTTGGTAGTCACTTGGACAGTTGAAAAATGTAAACTGTATCTATTAGGACTACCCAACTTGACTATTGTCATTGATCATAAGCCGTTGGAACCAATATTAAACAGCTATACTTTAGACAAGATCGAGAACCCACGAATACAAAGGTTAAAAGAGAAACTAGCTGGATATAGTTTCATCGCCGAATGGAAAAAAGGCAAGGAGCATTTTATTCCAGATGCACCTATGTGCACTCCAAATATAGAATGCTTACTGGCAGAACAAGCCTCGACTCATATAAATTCTTTAGTCATTCAACAAATTTCTATAGCGGATAATACTGCAGATGAAATTAGAGTTTCCCATCTACAAGACCCAATGATTTTGGAAATACAAAAAGCAACAAGTGACGATGAGGAATGTCAATTATTGAGAACTTAGATTCAAAATGGTTTCCCAACATCAAAAAACAACCTTCTACCAATTTAAATTCATTACTGGAATGTACACCGTGAGCTAAGTTATGACAATTCCCTAATTATAAAAGGAGGAACTCGAATTTTAATTACAAAGTCATATCGAAAATCAATAATTGGAAAATTGCATGCATCACATCAAGGAATCGAAAAAACTTTAAGGAGAGCCCGTCAGACAGTTTATTGGCCTGCAATGAAGAGCGATATTCAGAATTGCGTGGAAGCTTGTCAGTCCTGTCAGAAAAACAGAGCATCCTTACCAAATGAGACCTACATGATTGAAAGCCTTCCAAGCCGGCCATTTGAAGACGTTTCATCGGATTTGTTCAGTACAGGAAGAAAACATTTTATAGTTTATGTCGATAGACTTTCGGGATGGCCAATAGTTACTCAGTAAAATAACAAAGACCCAAGCAGTTCGCAGATGATAAATGATTTGTGCAAAATTTTTGTTGATACTGGCGTACCGGTTAGGTTTCGATGAGATAATGGTGGTCAAATGGCTTCGACTGAATTCAAAACCTTTTTAAAAAAGTGGAATGTAGTTTTTGCGCCTTCAACTCCACATTATCCGGCAAGTAATGGGCATGCCGAAGCTGCTGTCTCCAACTGGAATTTTATATAGCAAACCAATTAGATCTTTGATCCCAATTCACCAAAATAATTTTGCTGCAGAATGGAAAAATGCTGCTTTTATTTATGATGAAAAAGCTAATGAAAAATAAAAATTAGCAGAAAAATATAATAAACGCTGTGTCTAGAATCCCGGTACCGGTAACACATTTTTTACCGGTAGTTTTGATGGCGTCATCCATATGACGCACTGCCACTTAGGTACCGGGATTTAAGTGAATCCCGGTGTTTTGATTTTGTTTTCATCGTTATTTTAAGAGTTTTCGGAAACTGCCATCCGGATCACTAATCCATCAGAGGTTCGTAAATTGATCTAATCGGAATAATTCGTTCAGAAAGTAACCCGATTTACTCTATTTATCCCATATGTTGTGATCTCACTAACCCTGCCATTGAGGTGGGTTGGTTGATACACCTTATCAGCTGATTGGTATTTTGGGTTAGTTCAATAATGTTTTAATCACTTTTTCGAAACATTTCAAATTATAAAAGTTAGTTTAGATTCGAGATACCTTATACAAATGATTTGCGTTCGGAAATGTCGACCAACTCATTCCAGATTAGAAGTAATCTCCAATCTATCTTATAGGGTTGAAAACCTCTGAGAATTTAAACAAATTCAAAATAATGTCACTTTATATAGCAGTTTATTATCGAATTTATAGATTTACTTTAAAGGATATGTTGTCCTATATTGAAAACCATTTTAAAAGTAATTTCACGTTGAAAAACTCACGAAAGCATTCCACTTTACGTTCACACATCAATAAAAGAAGTTGAAAACATAAAAAGTTAGGTTAAGTTGAACTTTGATGAAACAGAAACTGCCAACGACTAAAGTTTTTACCGGGATTTGCTTAAATCCCGGGTACCTAGTGCGTCATATGGGTGACGTCATCAAAACTACCGGTAAAAAATGTGTTACCGGTACCGGGATTCTAGACACAGCGTATAATAAATCGGCAAAAAATTTAACTCCTGTTAAACCTGGCCAAAATGTATACTTACAGAATCCGATAACAAAAAAATTGGATAATACGGGAGTTATTGTGGAAGTTGGACCATATCGAAGATATACGATAAAAACTGCTAGTGGAAAAATTTATGTACGGAATAGAAGATTTTTACGACATATACCTGGAAGTCAGTCCTAACTTGGCAAATTCTGAAGAAGGGAGATGTGGTTCACTATATAATGTTGATAGTTACTTTGTTACCTATATTAGGAGTAGACATTTGTCAGTTTCAATTTAGAATAACTGTCATAAAGTAAACTTCTACTTTTATATCTAAACACGGAGGTCATGCTTAAACATTGCTTAGTATCGGAGGAGTATCGGAGGATATTATGAACGGGGACTGTTACCATAACCACGGCTCAAGGCATGCCGCAAGAAGGTTTCCTCGCGCTTCTATATCCTGGACTCTAGTATGTAGCCGTGTTCACAGTTCAATGGTACACAGATGATTCGGCGGTAAAAATAAAAACAAAACATAAAGGCCTAATAACCGACCGAATGCATAGCTATGTAAAAGCACCCACAATATTTCAGCCCGAACTGCTTGCTATAAATACCTGTGCCCAAGAGTGCCTTGAAAGAGGCTTCGCAAGAGAGCACAATTACATCCGGTCAGGTAGACAAACGGCTCCGAAAGCTGGAGAAATTATCGAGTGCTTGTCGCAGCTGGGATGGAATAGCATAAAGATCATCAAGCAACTAGCTGCCGGGTACAGAGTTACCGGAACATCATATTTGTCAATGAGGAAGCAAATTTTCTCATGAAACAATGGGCTGCAACACATTTTCAAGGCCAGAGCAATTTTGTGTACTGATAAAAAGCAACCTCATGGGGAAACTGAAAGAATGGGAAAAGAACCTATGGTTACCCATTGCAGATCTACTCAAGTTCGAAGACAGGCAGAAAGATTCATACCCATTTCAGCAAAAAGATTTGAACAACTTCCCCGCATGGAAAGAAGAGACATTAGAAAAGTGGTGCCCTGCAGATTCGGCATTGCCTAGTGAAACATCGTCCCTGAAAACTTCTGCTTTGTGAATGCCCTGTTCAGTTCCACAAGAGGCTGAATTAGCAAGGAGAGAGCAACACATAATAATATAACCCAAGAAGCTCGCTTCTTTTATGAAATGCTTACAAATATCTCGAAAAGTAGCAGTGTTGAGCGGCCTTATTAGTCCGAAACGACTCCAGATGCAATCCACAATCTACATGTAGACCATTATTCGCAAAAATTGACACATAAACCAATGTTTAATAATTAATAAAAACTCTGCAAATTTGCGTCTTATCGAACTATTAAAAAAGGCCTAATCAAGCTTCAGCCTCACAACATTTTTTAAACAGAATACTATTACTTGTGTTTGTTTTGAAATAGCGTATGATCCGCGGTAGGTACTAAATTGCCTTTTAATCCCTCTCGCGTCAAGATTAAACAAATTTCTTTGGTCCCTAGATATAATGTAACACATTAATAAATGTCTTAGAGGCAAAATAAACTGCAATGAAAATTAAAATATCATATTTTGTGGCTGTTATTTCAGACAACACTTTTTTCATAACACCAGATTTAAGGACTGCGTTAGTCAGTGACCCTCTACCACCCACTGCCATTAGGTAAGTTATTTCTCAATGCAACATTTGCTATGCTTGCCGGTTTTTCATGAAAATATAGAAATTAAGCTATAAACTGCATTGTTTGTTTTTCTCCCTTATTTGCTTCGAGTTCTTTTTCTGTACAAAGTTGGCATGTCTAATTACCCAAGAGAAGGAATGCTTAGATAATACAAGTAATCCATCACCATAGATTTCAGGCAGCTATTCAAGAAAACGATAAACCGCCAGATTCGATTTATCAGAATTATAATTTTTATGTGATATTAAAATTTCACGAAAAAAAAAAGGATACTTCCATTCTACAACATCAATGCACATTTTCCTAATGGGGTTCTTAAGATAGAGACAGAAGAGCGCGCGTTTGGGGCGATCGGGCGGCGGTTTTTGTACTCGTCGCGGGGGTCTTTTGGGGGCCGCAGGCTGCTGTTGGGCCTGCAGTTGGGCTTGAGGGGGACTCGCCGCCGATCCAGCGGGCCCCCCAACCCCCACTGTGCTCATCGTAGTCGCTGTCGCGGTGCAGCCGTCAATCGACACCACTGGTCTTGCGCATCACTCTTCTTCTGCCTCTGCGCTGTACCCTGTGACCGATCACAGGCGATTGCTACACACAGACGAATCTCGAAGTTCATAATGCAGCCCTAAAAGAAACAAGACAACATTGAACATATTTAAAAAACATCAAAAATACAAAAAAAAACAGTCCCATCATAAAACTATAAGTACTGAAGATATTATGGGTAACATTTTGAACTGCCGTTAATTTATCATAAAAAATATAAGATTCTATTATCGAGGCAGAATTTCAAACGCACGTCGTTTTCTGGACCAATGAAAAATTAACATAACCGACAAGAAATTAGGTTATATTAGACAGCGGAAAACATGCAAATAACGAACAGCGAATTTCGTCATCCTCACTTTCCAGAGTTAAGACAAGGAAAGCATAGAATATTAGCGTCAGCGGTAAAGAAGTGCGCGTCACATACTGACGCCAATTCAGTAGGTTCAAATATTATGTGGTAGGTACGAAAACAGTGCCGCAAAATCGGGAGACTTGAGACGATTTTGATTTTCAGCAAGTGATATTTTCGAAACTATTTAACTTAGCGATGACTTAAACATGTCAAAAGTTCAGTCCTAACCCGTACAATCGGCTTTATAAGTTGAGTTTTATGTGCATACCAGCATAGGTTAATATATCTGCGGTCACCTTCTCAAACGGAATATTTATTCTTTCATGTTGAATCAATGGCTCTTTGGGAACATTACGACTAAACTTCAAGCATGTTTTACACTTCGACACAAAATCCTGTACATCCTGAGACATTCCGGGCTTATAAAATATCTTTCTAGCTCTAGCTTTGGACTTTTCGATGCCAAAATGTCCAACATGCAACTTATTTAACATTATCAGTCTTAGCGACTTTCTAACCACAAGCTAAAAATTATGAAATAAAAACTCATTATATACATGTAAATCAGTTTTAAATTTAACAAAAACTTTTCAGGATTGACAATATCTTTTTTATCAGGCCAAAAAGCTTGACAAAATTTTATAACTTACTTTAAAACCTAATCTTTTTTAGTAGGAATTCGTAACTCATTCAACATTTCTTCTGAAATAGGAAGTTCAAATTCAAAATCATGAACTGTTTCTTTCATCTCATTATCATCTTCAACCGGCACTTTGAGATATGACCTGGACAAAAGATCTGCGATGCACATATATTTACCAGGTAAGTATTGAACATCAATGTAATATTTAAGCATTTTTAATTTTAATCTTTGTAGCCTAGAAGTTACTTTACAAATATCTTTTTTATGAATAGACACTAGCGGTTTATAATCTGTTTTCACAGCTACTGTACGACCATAAACAAAATGATGAAACTGCTAGATCTGAGCCCACCTTGACTCAGTATCTGTCATGCTCGAGCAAAATGCAACTGGCCGTCCTTGCTGCATTAGGCAACCCCCTATTCTACTCTGACTAGCATCAGTTTGCATTTCTATTGGTAATTCTGAGTCAAATATTTCAAGTACCGAAATTTCCGACACAACACTTTTTATTTTTTTAAATGTTTCTTCGTGATCTTTTGTCCATTGCCACTCTACATTTTTTTTATGAAATTTTGCAGAGGTGATAAAATTTCAAAAAGTTCGGGCATATATTTTGATAAATAATTGAACATTCCAAGAACCCGCAACAATTCTGTTCTATTTGTGAGCTCTTCAAGCAACAATACTGCTTCAATATACTCAGAATCAGGTTTAACTCCATCAGCTCAGAATATTTGACCAACATAACTGATTTCATGAACTTTGTATTGGACTTTCGCTTTTTCAACTTTACTCCAAACTTTTCTGCTCTTCTCATCACCTCCTTCAAGATTCTATCATGTTCCTCTACAGAATTAGGTACCTGCTATTACGAAATCATCAAAATAGATTCCTATGGGCATATCTCCAAACAATTTTTCATTCATACTCTGAAATACTGCAGTGCTTAAGCCCCGGCAACCTATCAAAACAAAATTTTCCAAACGATTCTATGAACGTACAGAGTTTCCGACTGTCAGAATCAAGTAGAACATGAGAGAACCCCTCTTTCAAATCAAGTACCACATAATTTTTTTTTCGTTTAGTTTCAACACCATCTGCTACAGTGGATGAGTATTGGAAACTAGTACAAACACACATATTTATTTAAAAACATTGAATCAAGGACAAATGCGTAGGGCCCCTGACGGTTTTTCCACTATTACAATAATATTATTCCAATCAGTGGGTTCCTCAACTCTAGAAATAATTCCTCTAACTTCTAAGTCAATTAAGGCTTCTTTGACACAAGCCCTTAAACCTAAAATTGGCATTTTATTATTGCTGTTTATAACAATAAACTTTATCTTATAATTAACATTTTTTACTAGGCAGTCTAAAACAATAAAACCCAAGGCTTGAACTTTGTTATTGCCATAAGTGTTTAGTGATAAGGTATCCCTTAAAATTTGGTTCCTACATTTAACTTCTTAACAAAAAATAACGGAAGGCATGATTACAGTTTGCCCCTGTATCAAGCTTAAATGTTATAAATTCATTATCAATCACGACATCAACAGACCAAATGTCTTTATCATATCTGGACTTACCTACACTGTCCATAACAATAGAATCGATGTAGGAAGCGTTTTCACTGTCATGATTAACAACTTCTTGAACAGTCTTCTACTTTTGTTTATAGCCTTGGGAGACATTTTGACGATTTTTGTTTCTTGCTTGCTTATTTTTACATCCTACAGCAAAGTGGATCAGGGATCCACTAGGCGCAACGTGTACATTTTTTTCCAAAAGCTGGACATTGCCTAGGTCCATGCTTCCTACCACATTTAAAACAGTTACAACAATTACTGCTTTGGCGACCAGCAGCGTTTTCCTTTCTGAATTCAAATGAATCTACTTGTTCACTTCCTCTAATGCCTTTCATTTGTAATTTACTTAGCTCTGCTGCTCGACATTCAGTTTCTGCCTTTTTGAGTGTTAAATTTCCAGTACGTAGCAGTCTTTCTTGTAGATCCATATCTCGAACGCCACTGACAATTCTGTCTCTAACTAAAGTGTCTGCCAGTGTGCTAAACTTGCAATTTTTTGCCAGCATTTTAACATCTGTTAAAAAATTATCGAATTTTTCACCTTCTCCATGAAATCTTTTAAAAAAATTATAGGTTCATTTCGAAGAGATTTGCAGTAAACATCAAATGCCTCAACCACAGTGTTATACACTTTTTTTTTCCTTTCAACTTTAAAGCTGCAAAAATATCCTGCGCCTCGTCTCCCGCCAAGTTAAAAAAAATTGCGACTTTGGTTTCCTCATCTTTTGCGTCAAACCCAGACGCCTTCACATATACAGGTCTGGCAAGGCAACATCTTACAGGCCAATTTTAATGCAATAGGTTGAAATGTCTAGAAAAAGTAAAAGGTTAAATAGAGAACCACAAAGATTTCCCCTATTCCACCTCCAGCATGGAGCGGTGGTAAGCTGGAGGTGGAATAGGGAAAATCATTTCCGTTCCCTATTTAACCTTAGACTTTCTCTAGACAGTTCATTCTATTGCATTAAAATTGGCCCGTAAGATGTTTAGTTGCCAGACCGGTATATTAAAACTGCTTATAGATTTCTCAATTTTTTTTTACAAAATTGACATCAAACACCAATGACTAAGGTGGTTTAAAGTTACCTGGCATCTTTTTCTGACTGTTTTTCACAATTTCGCACCTCCTTTCTATTGACTCAGTTCCTTCTTTATTCGACTTCCATAACCTGACACCATGTTACATGCTCATACACCAGGTACAACTTAGGACACTTGTAAACACTTTAAACGGTTTTTTATTAACTTTATTATTTAATTATTATTATGGTCAATTCTACACCTTGCAGCCTGTGTGTATGTGTGTGTGTTCACCTTCACCTTGCTAGAGGCTGGGGCATCAGCTGTTTAGTACCGCTGGCGCCACCACTAGGTGATCTCGCATTCAAAGCATACAGAACCGGCTTTATGTTACAGACCTCAAGCAACTCATTTATATTCTCCAACGTCTCTCTGACTAAATTTTTCTTATTGACAACCTTGTAATTGAAGAAAAAAACATTATTGCGTCTAGTCTTTCTTTCCAAAAAAAAAAAAATTTCATTTTTTCAATGTGCGTTTTGGATTTTTCAATTTAACTGGTTACAGACCTCCAGCTGTTTTGTATTTGGTTCGTAAGTGCTTGTGTTTGCTATCTGTACAACATATTATCAACCAAAACTCGTTTGCTTCCCCATTGAAAGCGGTCTTTTGCCTAGCCAGCCAAACAAGGACACTGACTGCCGGAGACAGCTTCCCCAGCCTGGGGAGGTAGTCCGACGCAGGAAGTCTTCCTTCAAAGCCTACTGCGGCGTGCCCCTCCGACTGAGGGACGCACGCAGCAGGAAGCTAGTCAGACACAGGACGCCAAATGCCGGAGACAGCTTCCCCCGCCAGGGGAGGTAGTCCGACGCAGGAAGCCCTCACCTAACTCTGTCGAAGCAGAAGCCATCCAGGACCAGGAACCCCCGACGAGGACCAGGACCACGACCATTTAATTTTAAGTTTAGGTTTAAGAAAGTCTCTTCAAGACAACTTGTCCGTTTTATTTTACTTATTTTTAGTTAAAATATCTTAAGGTGCACACCATGTTAGTTTAGCTTTTAAGTTTATCTTTTAAGAATATGATTGTCATTAACATTATGCATAAAAATTTCTTGTAAAATTATTGCAATAAAAATTAGTTCAAACGTAACGCGGTCTTTTGCCTAACAACTTTGATCGAGCTGGTACAACCTATACAGCAGCGTGGGTTTTACTGAACTTACCAAATTCAATATGTAGCGGTTATAGCGACGTATGACAGTCTGAGTTTGGAATGGGTATAGGTTTAGATGAATTTCATAAAAGCCTATAAGAATTCCTGGATAACTCTATTCCGTAACCGTAAATTTAGGAAAAAAAAATAGAGTCTTTATCATAGGTATCTATTGGGTACAACAGGTGCAACTGAGAGCCCAGAAGGTGTGGAGCATGGACAACTGAAATTAAAAGTGAAACTAAATCTGAGT